GGAAATTTATTATGCACACATATTATATACATAGCATAAAAAGGCAAGTGCCTTCATGAAGCGTTTGTACTCATCCACATCGGCCGGACGATTTTCTTTTGCAACGCTTCGAAGTCAATCGATCTTGCATTCGCGTCGTCGGCGTTGCCTCCGGTCCTCATCTTGTCAGGATCTTCGTCGTCGCTCCTATCCATGTCGGACGTTTGTCTTCTAACTCTATTGTTTTTCAAATCGTATATAGCGGAACCGTCGTTGTCGAAATCCCCAACTCCGTTTCTCTCGATATCATAGGGTATCTCGAACGCACCGAATTTCCTCGGCTTCTTTGTGTAGTCGAATAATATCTCGTTATCGTCCGTGTTACGTCGTAATCTTTCGAAGACAACATTGGACGCGACCTCGAGATACTCCTCTCTATTCTCAGGATAATACAATTCATGCAGGTCGGTCGATCTCTTAATTCTTTGTTCCCTGTTGGACGCCTCCAGATAAGGAGTGTCGTTTATTCTAATCATACAAGAGGTGGGTGGAGGCTGAATGAAGCCCAGGGGTAGGTGAAATGATCCAGCAGGAGAGGGAAGCTAGTAGAAGGAGTTTGCCTTTTTGCCATCTGCGGATAGAAAGACATACGAAAAATCATTTACAGTTTTATTCTCTCAGTTGAATATTTTTGAGAGAATGGGGGAGGGAAGAAAATGCCAGTTACTGTTCAATTTGTTTGCCGCTCACAATATTAATTTTTTTCGCATGTCTCTAGTCTTATTGCGTATTGAATAACAGAGTGATAAGAGTACTTACTTGACAAGCGGAAACTCTCCCGGATTTGATAAATTTTTGTTTATCGTTATAGAGAAAGACCTAGATTCTACAAATATTGTTTTTCTATGTCACAGCCCTAATTTTCTCCATTTATTTGAATAATTGATATCTTCCTTTATTCTTCAATTTATCTTAGACGATTGAAAAAAATTGTTTCAATTTTCAGCAGGTGTCGCTGATTTTATTAAAACTTGATGACGCTGTTAAATATATATACATATATATATATATATATATATATATTTATTTATTTTGCATTGCTAAGAAGATAGCACCAGCTATCATTAAACGAAATTACTTTACCTCGAGCGAGATATTGAAAATGAAGTGATTTTTAAGAATAAATGTAGATAAGCAGTTTTCATAAAAATATTTAATGCGTTTAATTGACGAAAATAAAAATTGTGAACATATTTTATTTTATTTTCTTGACCTATCATTTTATAATTATTTTAATCGCAAAATAAAAAATATATAAGGTTGTTATGTACGCGTAAAGAGTGAACTCTCGGAGAGCAAAGATCGCGTGCGACAAACATTATTTGCGAATTCCAAATTCTTCAAAAATGACGACCCCGATTCGATAACTTCTTCGCTCGCCTTTATCTTCAATTTCAGTTGCGCTATCGTAAAGCGATCTCAACTACACCGTTATGTTTTCTGCGAGACCATATGGTGCTGTAATCTCGCGACTATGCCAGACCTCGGGATAGCGTATCGCGTACCACGAGGAAACGAAACGTGGTCTCACCTGTCGGCGAGGGAGCCCCAGAAAGGGGCGCTCAGGAACTCGATGAACGGCCTGAGACCGATGAGAAGGCCGCATTGTCCCGCATTCATTCCCATTTGCTTGAAGTACACCCCATAAGCGGAAAGAGGGAGCCGAAGGCCGAGTAGAAGAAGAAGTAGAAGGTCTTTACGGTGAGGAGCTCCTGATCGACGGAGCCGAAGAGGTACTCCAGGATGTCGCTCTTACCGCGAATCTTGTGCGTGGCCTCCTTCGGTTGGGGATACATGCTGGGGTCGACCTCACCCTCGGCCTGGGGGTCCACGAGCGGCCTGGCGCCCGGCACCTGGGGTAGGACTCTGCTCGACGGCTGCCCATCGCCCGGCATACCATAGTCGTAATCCTCGTGTCCATAGTTCTGCATTCTGCTTCCCGACTCGCTCTGCCGCGAAACACCGCGAAACGCTCGGGCAACGGAGCGTATTTCCCCAACCACCGGACGGAGCGCGCGATACCTCCCCTTACATTCGCTCACCGGACGGGAACCGCGCCGCGGGCTTCCGTTCCACCGAGGCAGCCGAGGTTTCCACCCTTTTCGCCAAAAACTCCTCTCCCTCGAGAATTGGACTCTCCGATTATATCGGCTGTCAAACCCGGTGCCTCGGTGCCTTCGCGGTCGAATCGATGTCGGGCTGTATGGGGCAGCTTTGCTTCCAAAATCAATAAACACCCTACTGCGCCGGCGTAACTTTCACCCTCTCACTACCCCCTGCCGATGCGATATTGTCTCAATGCCGTCATATCGACGTAGTTAGTTTAGTCTTTCGGCAGATACTATTTTTGCTTTTCCTCCAGTTTTCGTTTCCCCGCGATCCTATCGTCCCTTTCTCTCTCCCTTCGAAGAGTAGAAGTATACAATACCTACCAAATTCATTGCATCTTCGATCATTTACGAAACAGCAGTTCGAAACTCTATACAGGATAAATTGCAGGCTAAATTCTAAAGATCATCCGATCAATCTCGAATTAATCTTTACTTTAGTGAAAATGTCGAGAAAAATCATCATTGTTACAAATTTTTAATATCAGCTTGGTAGAAATTAAATTTCTATCTCAATCAAGATCATTTGAAGGAAAATATTTTTAAAAAACATTCTTTGTTTTTCTAAAATAAAGTTCCTTCCATTTCCTTCTTTATCGATTGTAATTGATAATTATTAATCTCTTTGTTGAAAAAAATGATTTTAAGTGCATCAAGAGATCTGCTATTAAAATTAGCGTATTACTTTATAGTTTCTTTAAATTATAGAATTATAGTGGGTGAGTGCGGACAAGACTGAAAACGTCGATGTTTATGAAAAGAAAATAAATAGTAATCGCTTTATTGCGTCGTCATATCACGTTATAAATATGCATTTTAAGATTAAATAATTAATAACTTCTTATGTACAGTGGTGCCTTATATAACAAATGGTCTTCGCGCTGCGTCACGCAGAGCTTTTTCGGATTTAAATAACTTTCGGTATCAGGTCCATGTGTGATTGCGCAGGGCATACGGAAGAAGCTGCGGTCGACGATCGTGCGGGTTTGGGTGGTCCTTGAAACATGCAGGTTTTTGCTGTCTTTAAGAGACGGCCGTTGTTCGCAGTTCGCCAATAAACCGTGCGAACCGCCTGCTTTCCAGCGACGTAGCTAACGGCACCGCCAACCAGCATCTGCAAATAAATCGTCCAGTTAAATATATTTCGTAATATAAAGAAGGAGATATTTATATGTTTATGTAATGAGAACTGCTTCAAAGAAAGAACGTTTGTGAAAAGAAAAATAAGTAATAATTTCTCGTTGAAATGATTCTTCCCCTCCCCCCCCCGTTTTCTGTATGAGCACAGTGTTCAAAAAATATTGAGTCACTTCGAATGTACGATGAAAATCTCGAATTACTTATGCAATATTTTTTAAAAATTTTAGATACTTTAAAAGTCTTGAATGTGTTAATCTTAAGGATTTTAAATATTTCGGAAATATATTTCTTCCTTTACGATGCTATTATTTTATTCCATTTTCTATAGAACATAGATGGTTTTATTTTTTTTTATGTTTTAGATATTCCAAATTCTGGGAGCATTCAAGTTCTTTAAAAGTGTGTTGAAATTTGGCGTTCAAAATTTTCCAAATTTTTCAGACTTTTCAAAGTAATTCGAATTTTCATACGACGTTTCAAATTGTTTCAAAACTTTTGCAAGGAAAATTCAAACGAATCTTATTTAAAAAAAAAAGCAGAGATATTTCTTTGTTCTTAATCAAATAATATGAAAAAAAAAAGACTCAACGTTTCCTTGTAAGACATTAAAAACAATTAACATTAATGGAAATCTTGTCTTTTAAACACGATACGTGATGATATTAGAAAGCATACGTTTCTTTTATTTAACAAAATATTTGTATAATTTGTTATTGCGTTTGCGTCTCTATGTAGACTTGTTGAAAGCTCAAAAAATCAACAATGATGGGGGAAAGACTCACTTTAAATTGATGCGATTCGATGTGTACTGCGAGGACTGATTAGGTATCGGTTGCAGGGCAACCTCTGATGACTTCTCCTTCTACGATACGAAGAGCTGCCGCTGTGTCTGCCTCTCGTATCTGATTTGGTCGCTCAGAGGTGTGAGACCAGTACTAATGCTCGGTCGTGCACCGCGCTGTATTTTATATACGACAAATACAACGTCACCCGCCGTCGAGATAAGGAGGACTCACGCGTCATTCACGACAATTA